TCACGATGTGGGAAGATTTGCATAACGCCGCCCAAATGTTCACACAAAGAAAGAAGGCGTAACTTTATTGTTGCTGCCACCGCCGCCGCCATGTTGTGGTGTGACGCTGTGTTTCGTTGTGAAAGCGAAACTACTTTGTTTGGCTTTCCAAAAGAGGGCACAACTAGAAATCAGTGGTTAAGTTGTATTTTTACAACACTGTTCCAGAACACTTCAACCCAAATATTCAGATGTGTGCAGTGCATTTTATGGAGGACTGTTTTTCTGATCCTGGTAGAGTAGGCTAGACTACAATGCCGACTGTTCTGACTCACAGACTGTAAGTACATATTTTATATTTAAAGAATTTGCCACTGATGATTCAAACGCGAGTTTTGAGCAATGTAGAGTAGCGCTTGTTGTTTGTCATTTCTTCGATCACAAATGCAGACATGGTTTTATGTTTACGCGGCGCGATGCAACGCAACGCGTAAAAAGACAGTATAAGTCATTATAATCCATAATTATGTCCCCGCTGGATGCAACAAATGCCTCGTTTGTAATGGGTTTTAATGTTTTTGTCTCGTCGCTCTGGGACACGGCATCACAGTATGGTAAGGGCGTAACATTTCCGTCTCACGCTTGAGGTATTCGGCCAATCACAACGCACTGGATAGCTGGCCAATCAGAGCACACCTCGCTTTTCAGACCAATGAGCTTTGTAAAAATCGACGCTTTTCAGAAAGGCATAGAGGAGAAACAATAATGTACAGTATGTGGGAAAAAAATTGTTTTTTTTAACCTTAAACCGCATAAACACATTTCATTACACCAAATACACCAAATAATGTTATTTTTAGCAACATCATATGACCCCTTTAAAGGTTGTGATGGTCTTATGTGATGGTCCCAGATCGAGGACCTTTCCCGATCCTGCCCCCCTCTCTCTCTCCCACTTCACTTCCAGTCTACTCTACACTGTCCTATTTCCCTAAAGGCAAAACGCCAAAAATAAATAAAAAAATTAAAAAACTTTTTATAACAGTTGAGTGTCTGCATTATTCCTGTTTGTGTTATGCAAATGATCTACCATGGCAATAATGATGTTCTGTTCCGGCTTTGAACATGCTAAATTTCACTTAAGTAAACATGCTCAGCAGGAGTATAGCAACGGTTTGTTTGTCATTCTTAAAGAAAGGACGCACTTTTCATGGCCTGAAGTTCACATAGTTATAGTTAAGTTATAGTTTAAAGGATGGATGCTTCAGAGGTGTGTTCAAACAGAAGGGAACCTGATTAAAATAAGAAAATGTCCATTCTGTATTTTGCTCATTTAAGGTTTTTTTTACACTAAGATATAAAGAGCTCAAAACATGAAGTTAGTCAAGGTCAGTTACAGTGGAACAGGGTTTAAATTTCTAAGGTTAGATCCTTGATGCCAAAACCCTCTGGAGTTTTGAGGACATGCATGTTGGAGTCAATGTGAACTTGTGAAAAAGTATCCTGCTTTGCAGCACATGGGTAAAACACATGATATTATGAGGATATGAAAAGCAATGTTTTTTAAATATTAAAATCTGGTTTATTTCCCATCTGAAACATCAAGACAGCTTTGCTCCATTTAAGACAGGCCGCTTTATTTTACATATTAACATATTGTTATATTTCTTTGTGGCCACAAGGCTACGCTGAACATCTACATGAGAAGAGAAGGCCATTCTGCATGAAAGAATGAAAGAATGAATCTGGGAAGTAACAGACTTTAAGAATGTATTTCTAACTCAAACATGAGCAACCAATCAATACAACATTTTAGGCCGATGTCATTATTATTATTATTATTATTTAATAGTAAATTTAATACCACTAGTAATATTTGTGACCAGATTTTACTTTTGAATTTAACTAGGTTTTGCAGACAGTTACATTTTATGTTCAGAGTGAACATTTTATTTTACTTTTACTTTTTCGTGGCTGGCGTAGGCTAAATAGTCACATGACCAGAGCTGTTAAATTCCAGTTTGTCTTTCTGGAAGATAATGTCTGTCCATCAGGCATATTTGGTACTGTATATGCAGGGGCTTAACACCAAATGTTGGGCCCCGGTCACACAATCAAGGGGGTGGGCCCCTCACAACACAACACCTCATCAATCATGTTAATAATAATAATCAGTATATCATTATGCCTCCCCCCCCCCTCGCCAAGGGCCCCTGTTACTCAGTTCCACTATTACTATGTCATGATACCCCGTGTTTATGTAAAATTTAAAGGGTCTATTAACCAATTATGAAAATTGTCTCATATTGTGATTACTGTGATCACAGTATGTGACCAGTGGGCATGGCTATTAGTTAACTAAACTTGAAACCCAGAAATATATTAAAAAATAATAATAATAATTAAAAAAAAAACTTTTCAGGTGCCAAGGCAACATTGTTAGTTTCGTTTAATTTGATGTACTAAAAAAGCTAAAACGGAAATAAAAATAAAACCAAAAATAAAGTGAAAACAGAACATATAAAAATAAAAACTAATACTAGAATAACACCGGTTACCAGTGGGAATTGATTCAGTTACATTATAAAATAGTAGATGTCAAGTATTGTTAAATAAACAAAAC